GAAGCAGGACATGTTGGAGGATAGGTAAAGTCCTGAGTCAAAGGAAGAATGTAGATTAACAGAATTGTGTTGAACTAAGTTGTAAGAGCTAGTTAGTAATAAGCCTGAGCTATCAGCTGTGGATTTATAAGCAATATAAGCCTCCGTGTGGTAATATGGAAGTGGCTGCTGGGATAGGGAAAAGTCTGCCCACAATACTAACATAAAATGCCAAAAATCAAATACTGAACCTCACCCTGTACCTCAGTCAGATATGTTCTGTGATAAAAGTGGGGGCTTCTGCAGACTGTCCTTCAAAGTGGAGACATGGTGTTAGGAATGAGCTGTGGTCTATCCTTAGTTTAGACCCAGAGGCTTCTATTCTTCTGGGTTTTTCCACTGTCTGATAATTCAGTCTCCTTTACACAGAATAGAAGCATCCATCTCATAGGATTGTGTAACAGCTCCCATTGATGTATTGGGGTAATAGGCAAAAGGCAAAAAGATACTGATTAATGTAATGCACAAATAGATATGAATTATATAGATAATTTTAATTGATCAAAATTGAGTAGTATCATAGTATTTCTATAAATTGGTTAACAAATCAAAACAGAATTGAATGTTTGATAATCATTAAATACAGGTAGGTCTGTTCTTGCTCTGTAGAATAGGGTGGGCTTGAATCCACTGAGATCCTCTTGCCTCCAATTTTAGCTCCTGAGCGCTGGGATTAAAGGTAAGTATTATCACATGCAAATTAGAGTAAAAAGAAGTAGTAGATCTTACAATATAAAATATTCACTAAAATCAGTCCTTCTTAGAATATAAGATTCATACAATATAAGATAAGGCCAAAGCTATCTATTTGGAAACAGAAACAATAAAGTGGTTGTCATCTTGAGAGCGTAAAAGGGGAGTAGCCCTGAAAAACATAATTCAACAAGCTGTTAGTAAATACCAAATTAAGATGGAAAGTGGGGTACTCCTAAGAGATATGAAGAAACCACAATGGAGGCATTTAAAAAGATAAGAAAAGTAAGAAATCAGAGAAGGATTCCATAAGCAGGAGTATATGTCTTCACTGAGAAATGGACTGTATGTCATTGTCCCATTTTTTCTTCCTAAGTGATGGGGCAATGGGTGCATGTCTTGAAAGCATAAAAGTATGTGTAATGATGAGCAGTGATGTAGACTGATCATATTTGACCCATTCTCTATTTTTGACTCTGGCAAATGACAATTAGGTTAGAGCTAATATTTCTTTGTCATTGCATAGTTCTGAGGACATATATATGGGAATTAAAATGGAAATGTCAGTGACTCAGCCATTCTGAGAAATATACAGATGGTAACTGGTTGTCTTCTATTTCTTTTCTTTCTCCTTTACTGTATGCTAGGATGTGAACTCCACATTGAGGGAGCAGACTCAGACGTGAACCTGAGGACAGGTGCCCCTGGAGTGGAAGACTAGCATGACAGAAACAATCAGAGTTCCTTGTGACTAGGCATAAATATCCATGTACCTTGACCATGTATCATCATAATCTGCTTTGTAAGAGGCAGCAACTCTCTTCTCTTTGACATATTTCGTTGACAGATATTTTTGGAACTATACAAAGGATTAGTAAATAGTGAGTTAAAAAATGTTAGCTCAGTATGTCCCTGGGCCCTTTGTGAACAAAACATTTCTTACATGTTGAAATCAAGAAATGGTATGCTTACATAGGAAGTAGTGTCTAGTGAAGTTTGGTACTCTGGATTTTTGCCTTCAAGTACTGGAGATGAAAATCTCAAAGATCAAAATCAAAACATTGTGATTCATCGATTTACATAATTCCTTAATTACCAAAAAAACAAAACAAAACAAAAATATGGCTTTAAATTAGAAGGTGGAAGAAGTTTGGCAACAGAGAAAAGTTAAGAGTGGTAGTGAATTAAAGAGAATGTAATGAAATAGAACTAATCTGAACAAGGTCAAAGTTGTTCTCCAGTGCTTAACCAATATATCATCTTACAAAGCAGGGCAGTTAATATTTGAGAAAATAGTGTTGTTCCAGGGGGTATCTAAACTCTATTATGATGCATTATTGCATACTTTAAGAGACAGAAGCCATATAAATATTCCTCAGAGGAAAGAAATAATTCCAAATTTAAGAAAAATTTCTGTACTCAAGGGAGATAAGCTCATATCTGTGTGCTTGTAATTGCCCCATTTTGTCATTCATCTGCCCATGAATCTTGAACTAGCAATGCCATTTTGGGGGATCAGCACTTAATTTAGCTGTGAAATTAAAATCTGTAAGTTTAGAATTATGTACCTGCTGTGGTAAAGAAGGTGAACTAAATTGAGAAAGGACAGCATGTCAGGGTTACATCCTTGAAAACAACTGAATCTATCTCTTTCAGCTTCCATAAATCCCAATTATTTTTCAAATGATGTGATATTTAATGACTACCTTCCCATACATTCTGTAATTTCACTGGATTTATGTTGTGCATGAAGTCATAGCCACTGTGAGTGCATTTGTGCAAAGACCCCACTCACTGGGTTTAACAACAAACAAAAAGACAAAACCCATGAAGTTGTAAAGAATGTCATGTAAAGAATAGGGGAAGAATTGAAGGATAAGAGATGGAATGGATTTGGTCAAACATCATATGTGAATGTAAAAATCTGAAGCACTAAATAAATAAATGAAAACCCCTTTTAATATTTCACACTATAGAAAGAAGAGCACATATGGAAGTTATTTAAAATCATTATATCATCACTGAACATCACTACACTTAGATCAATTTGAATGGAAATTAGCTCTTAGCTTTCTGAGCATACTTTGCCAAGTGGCTTGATAATAAACTGCAAAGGAAAAGAGTAAACAATTTGTAACATTTTCTCTTCCCCATTGTTGTCCACACTCCCCACCACATACACAACATAACAAAGGAGACAGTCTCCTCTTGTCACCACTGTGTACTACTAAGTTTTTTTCATTTGAAATCATTTTCTTTGTTACTATATCTTTAACTATATACAAACAAGCCAGACACACAAATGAAATCTGTCAGCCATCCTGCTGAAAATCTGAACAGGATAGTTTCCCTTTGAATTTCCATTCATAGATGCTTCGTTCCAGTTTGTACCTTTTCTTCTCGAGACCCTGTATATCTGTATTTCTCCTTTTATACATAAATACTTCAAAGAAGTAAAATAGCCTCTCTTTTTTTTTCCATGGAGTGATATCCCTAGAGGAGGAGTGGAACTGGATAAATTTAAACTATATATAGTATTATTTTCCTCTAAATACATTTTTTACTAACACGTAACTCATAAACTATCATTACAGACTAACGACAATAACTAATATTAAATACAGTAATTTAATTGGAAGTTACAGGAACCCATGTTGACAACATCCAGAGAAAATGATTACTTGTATGGAAAGTAATTCCTGAAAAGCTCAGAATCTTTTCCTGAAACTTGTGTGATATAGGCAAAAGTTTATAGGATAAGGACCAGACATATATCTCAGTTGGTAAATTTCTTGGCTATTAATGCACAAAGCCCTAGCTTTAGTGCATAAACAGGACATAAACAGTGAATCCAGGAAAAAACTGGATTTGTTAAAATAAATTTTATTTAAATAAAAATGTGTTAAGTTTAATTTTATTAAAATGAAAAATAATAACAGCAGGAATAAAATAGGTCTTGCTGGCATGCATTTGAGAGAATGAAAGACAGATGAAAGTATATCAGAATTCTGTCACCTTTAGATACACAGTAAGTTCAAGACCAGCCTAGGCACTTGATATTCTTTCTGAAAATAAAAACAAGCCAGGGATGTGAGAGCAGTGTTGACTTTTGGTTTTTAACACTCAACATAACTGTATATGTATTGAGCTCCAGTGTTCACTTACTGCATTACCAAAATATAGATGACACCCTCTACCTATTATTTCAATTACTGTTGTTCAGTTTTATGATAGGGCACATATGTACATACAACCATTACCTATCCCTTTTCACTGCAATATTTCATAAATTCCTAAAAACTTTATCATGAAATAAAACCATGTTCAATAATTTTAGTTTACTGAAGGCTTTTTAAAGTGTTCTCTGCATGTTTAAGCTCTAATGTTTGATGTAGTGGTGTAATAAATATATAGTTGTTAATATTCTCATTCTGTAATGGCCATTTTAAGAAACAGCAAAATATATAGTTAATGAATATTCAACTGAAACCACACTAGTAAGTACATAAAAACAAAGCAAAGCAAAACAAAACAAACAAAACACTCAGAAGTTAAAAAGGACATATAAAAGGTTAACTTAATACAAAGAATCCCATAGCATGGGAAAGGCAGAAGTATGATAAAAAAAGACCTAAAAACAACAACAAAATAGAACAGAACAATTAACCTGGGAGACTGCATAGTAAGTAGTGTTTGATACTTAAATGTAAGAATACAAGTGCAGAGCCTATGATCTCATGTAAAGCATTGCCAAGTGTTCTATAATCTCAGTACTCCTACAGGTAGGAAATAATAACAGGACACTTCCTGGAACATCACGAGATAGCTAACTTGGTGTACAAGTGGGAAAACACTCCCTTTCTGAAAAGCAAGTTGGAAGATGAGGACCAACACCACTGGATATCCCCTAACTTCAACTCAAGTACCATGACAGGAGAACACGCCCATACATACAAACATGCACATATACACAAATTATGTACGTCATTCGATGCATAGTTTAAAGGGAAATTTTACCCTTTGTATTTACTTTAAATTAAATTTATACTTCCAGAATACTTACAAATCATTGCATAATTGTTAGAGATAATACAATGCACTGAATGTGGTTAGATACAATTTATATTCTTCCTTCCTTCCTTCCTTCCTTCTGTCCTTCCTTCCTTTCTTATGAATGAGGCAATTTAATAACCCAGCATCCTTTATTCTAATGCTTCTTGTTGGCAGCTGCCACCTGTCCTGCAATCTTGTCCGTGTCTCTCTTCCCCCTAAGGTGTTAATTTGCGGCCCCCATCTTGGTCCTTTTCCATCATTTTCAGTCCCTCCAGGACTTGGAGGACGCAGCGGGTCACACTCTTGGAGCCTCTGCTGAAGTGGCTGGGCCTGACACCATTTCTCTGCTGTCCTCCGTATAGACCTTGGTCATGGAGCCAAAGCCGCTACCACCGCAGAGGTACAGGTACGGTGCTGTGAAGCAGCTAATGTGTAGAAACAGTTCTCATCATAGGGGACGAGTTCTTTATGTTTGGCCAGCTGGACTGTGTCCACCCATTCGGGAACTTTCAACTTCCCAGACTTTTTGAGGACGGCTGCCAGAGCTCTGACAAACTCCTGCTGGATAATGTCATTTACAGTAACTCCAAGCATCTTGCGGCCTCTGCCCTGCCGGTGCACATCTCTCAGTTTGACGACCATCAATCACTCTCACTAGACAGCCTTGAGATGAATAGCAGTTGTTCACAGAGCTGAGAAGTGCCTGGAGTCTTCAGAACACCTTCCTCATCCTTCAACTTCCTCAAGGAATTCAGCACCCTCACCACCTCCCTCTCTTCTGTTTATCTTTTCCTTTTCATGTTTGATTCCCCTAGACACTGTTTGAAAATGTAGCTGTGGTGGTTTGAATTAGAATGGCCTGCATAGACTCATGTGCTTGAAGGATTAATCACCAGGGAGTAGATCTATTTTGAAAGTTCTGTGAAGAGTGGCCTTGTTAGGTGAGGTGTGGTCTTGTTGGAGGAACTATGGCCCTGATGTTTCAAAAGCCTGTGTCAGCAACAGTCTCCCTTTCTCTGCCTGCTGTATGCGGTTCAGAATGTAAGTTCTCAATCTAATGCTTGCCTGACCATCTGCTTAAGTCTGCCATGATGGTCATAGTCTAACCTTCTAAAATTGTAAGTATGCCTCCAGTGAAATGCTTCTTTTATAAAGGTTGCCTTGGTCAGTATGTCAGCTAGTTGGATGAAAGCTCATCTCAACGTGTAAGCTGGTTGACTGCAATAGAGCCCCTCTTTGTAGATTGCCTTGGGGCTGTCTACTCACCATCTCTTTATAGGACCTTGCCTGTCCACTGAGGTGATTTTTTTCCTCATTATATATGCAAATCTCCTTTCTTTTAATGCCACTACCAAGGCTTAGCTGAGGCCCACCTTAAAATACTATTTTACCTTTCTTACTTCATTCAGAAACCTGTGTCAATAAGCATATAAATTTAAGGATTCAAGGTTAGAGAGCTAGTGTGCCCTGCTGGAGGGGGATGTAATTTATACAATAGTCAGCAACATGTATACAAAACACATGAAATAAGAGGTTCAGTGTCAAGAATGTAACTTGGTTGGAGAGTGCTTGCTTAGCATGGACAAGGCCCTCTGCTCAGTCCCTAAGACTACAAAAAAAGAGAAAAAGAAAAGATAAGAAAGAAAGAACCTACTAAACAGAATCAGGATCCAGTGTTACCATCTAAAGATACTGGGCAAACTCTCTAGTTTTTTTATTAAGTATTATAATTATGTACACTAATGATAACTATATCTACATTAATTCTTCAACAATTTTCAAAATGTTTCTCTACTTAATAATCCAAAAAGTGAAATAGACTCAAAACTTTTCAAATTCATTTTCACCAAAAGTCAGTGACACACAGAATTTTCAAGTATGTGAGAATTCATCTTGATTACACATTTCTTTGCTATTTTTCTTAATATGAAATAATGAAGTTCCTATTCCTAAAGTTCATGAGACCATCTTTTAAAGCAAGCATATAAGTCTTTCCACTGTGTTGCCTTCAAAGTTTTGCTATCAGGACTCTGTTAAAAATGCAAAATGAATTTTTAACAGAGCATTGACACTTGCATTGTTAATGTGCCTCCAGGCATGTAATTAGCTGAGAAGTTTAATCTTTTATATTCCAAAGTTTGATCAGAATGCATAAAGCTCAGAAAGGCTATGAAGTATTGACCAGCATCTTTGATAAAAAGAGAGCTCTTAGAATAATTTCTGTAAATGCAAATTTTACCTACATTTTCTCTATAACTGTATTAAATATAAAAAACTGATTTTTAATTTTTAAACACTAAACAGCAGTAAAGTGTCCTCTGCATTTTCTTCCTTAGATTTCTGAAAAATGAACTTTGCTTAAGAAACTGAAAGGAGTCATATGCAGGGCAGATAAATGGATCCTTTGTTTTATGAAGGATTTATCTTTGACAAATTTTATAATACATGGGTGGGTAACTAACATTTGGATGAATATAGAAAATGGAATTATGATGTAAGTCTTTAAAAATAATTTAATGTGCATCACATTTATTCATGTTTGGTAAATACTGGGAAAATTATATTGCATAAAGCTTTATGTTTAAACACATAGTCAATTCTCTAACAGTAGATTAAGATAAGGTTTACACTGGATGTTGGTGATTGGGATTGTGAAAGCAAATCCAATAAGGGTGGTATAGGATAACTTACATATGAATTAGATTCATGTCAAATATGAGTTAACGATACTTATCACATTTGTAAGAAGGTAATTTTATCTCACTTGGAGAGTCTGTGCATGGTTAAATCCTAATTGTTCAAAATCTATCTCTTTTATTTTCATATTGACTCACTGTTCAGCAGATAGTGAGTCACAAATAAATCTTGTTGCTTAATTGCAGCATGTCCTGAAAAGAAAAATCAAAGATTTTTACTATATTTACAACATGCTAAGAGGTTTTACAAATTTTGATTCATTTGATTTTCAAAGGAATGTTTCAATGCAGGTATTATCATACCTGTTCATTGTTATACACATCGTTATTTCTGCAGTGTTTTTTTTTTGTTTTTTGTTGCTTGTTTGGTTTTGTTGAAATACAAGTGTTTATGACACATTTTATGTTACTTTAATAGATTAATCTGGGTGCACTGCTTCAAACTTATCACAAACTCATGCAAGGTAGATATGTTCATGGCTGCAACATAAGACTATCAAGAATATGCAAAAAAGACTATACATGAACATTGCAAAGAAGCTGAGGAAAATTACGGCCACTTCGTAAGACTCTTTTGAAGGTCTTACAGAACAAACAAAAACAAACAGAAATAATAACAACAAAGCAACTATCAAGAATTTCCAAATCTCAATTGTCCATAATTAAATTATTTTCATATGTCAATAATGACATTATGAAAGTGCTTCTTGGGAGGAAACTTTTTTGAAGTTATTAATATGTATAACTGCTGAGATTGAACCTTATGATGACAAATGTCCTGTTATATCAAAAGAAATGTTAGTAGAAATATAGACATTAAAACTACATTTATGAATAACAGAAGGTGGACAAGATGTGTCATTCACACTACAGGAAAGATGAACTGTGTGTGACCAATGATTCACTCTATTGTCTTCTATATTGAGATAAAAAAGCTATTAAAATGAGCTTTATCTCATACAATATTATAGGTGTAACATGGATTTTATATTGCATATAGTAAAGCAAAAGAAAAACAGTATCTTCTTTCTTGCTCTCCTCTATTCTTCCTTTGTCTCAGTCTTTCTGATTCTTCTTGTTGTCCTCCCCCCTTTCCTTCTCCCCTGGAGAGGCTGACCGTGATGCCCTTCCCCTGTAATGAGACAGTATCCTTCCATAGGGAATGAGCTCCCAAAATCCATCTGTGCACCTGGGACAAACACTGGCTCAACTATTAGAGGTCCCATAGACTGCCCTGGCCTCCTAGCTGGCATCCACATTCAAGGGGCCTAGTTCTGTCCAATGCTGGTTCCATAGGTTAGGGTCTCTGTGCTCTCACTAGGTTAGGTCAACTGTTTCTGTGAATTTCTCCAGCACAGTCTCAGCTCCTCTGCTCATCCATCCTACCTCTCCACAATTGAATTCCAGGAGTACAACTCAGTGTGCAGCAGTGGGTGCCTGTTTTTCTTCGTTCAGTCATTGGATGAAGACTCTAGGATGGCAAACAACATTTTACAGAATGTATTAGTCAAATGTGTAATTTCAAATCTAATTTATTATGTTAGTTGTAGTCTAGAGTAAAGAATCTGTCCATGAAATATATTTGTTTGTCCTTATATTCACAACTTTGGTCTTTGATGAATAAATATCAAACCACAAGATTCTATAGAGTGTTATATCTGCAGAAGCACTGAGGACAGACCTGCTTCCTCAAAATTAACTTAGAAAACATGAGCTGACAATACTTAAAAGACTTGGACTCTGCTAATAAGACTTTGGTAACAAGGTAGAATGAATTCACTATTCCTATGGAATATATGTTAATTTCATGTGTAAGTATCATCTACCTGCTGTGAACATAGTGTCTATGAATTGTCTTTTAGATGGGTTTAGACAAACAAGTGCAGATTTTCTTTATTTAAAATTTCTTTGTACTTTATTGGTAATCAAGGAAAATTTAAATATAATAATTTCTCAGTTCATGCAACACAGTTATAGACTTTCCTTGGTTAGAAAACAATCGAGAGATAGATGTGGCTCAAAGGAGTCCCAAACCATTGAAGGAACTAATAAGAAGAAGGCTGTGAAAACAGAGTGTGGTGTGTGACCAACACTGTGAATATTAACTCCAAACACCTCAACATTTGAGTGCATGGCCTTCCTCTTGTGAAAACCATTGCAAATGTTAAAAATCATAATGTCCTGAAGATACTTTTATGAATTGCTTGCCTTAAATTCATGTAACTTACTGATATGCTATGTATCTGTTTTGCAATAAAGTAATATTATTTACATAAATTATGAAATGAATAATTGATCAATATATTTTAATATTTCATTCTAATTTCAGTTCATTGCTTGAAATAAAGTGTATGCAAATACACAACCTAATATGAATAGAAGCAAACTTTACATTGAATAATGAATAAATATTTAAAATTTATTAGGTTTTCCTAATGTGTCACTTTTCCATACCTCTGTAGCTAGTCCTTTATGTTTTCCCATGTTACAAACATTAGTTGCTTGAGAGAATAAGTTAATTAAATGTAGTAGAGCTTCTCTTGAGTTTCAAAACAAGGATATTTAGATGAATATCAATAATGAAGTTTTATAGCTGTCTACACATTAAATGTAATCTTAAATATTTGCATGTATCTCATGGTTATATAAATTTTAAACTACATGGGCATGGCATGGTCCTGATATCTCCATCAAAACCATATCCCAATTTATATAAATTTCTACTATTAGACTTTACTTCATAAGCATATGACACCTCCTAGCTGTGCAAGGGACAAGCAAAGTTATTTTTAGCACATGAACTTATAGAGGATATTTAAGATTGGAAAATATTTTTTAAAAGGTTGGAAAAATAACATCATATTCTTCAACATTACATGAAAGAAGGCAAGTCTGATC